AATATTACATTTGGAATCAACAGCTTATATCTATTTTAATGAAAATATTATATTTACACTATACATTAGACAATTACAGATTCTCAATTTGTATAACAGACAATATTTTATTTAACCTATCCTCCAAAAATAAGCATAATTTTTGGTGGGTAGGTTAAATTAAATAGAAAAAAAAAAATGTATGGAGATACTTATTTAACACGTCGCATCAGGGGGGAAAGGGATTGTTAGTAATAGAGACTGAGAATCCCATTGCTAGCAATATACCCAACCAGGTCGACCTCCTCGCGGTTCTCCCTGGAAACTATCATGATGGGCTAATTGGCCTGTTTTCATTCTCATCTATCACCCTTCACTGGTGCTCCGCCAGCGTATCCCGTTAGCGCAGGCAGGGTTACTATACCATTTTCACCCATTGGAAAAAAAAACACGTCACATCACTGGAAGTTCAGCAATAAATTAGTGTAAAAGTGTGTATTATTTGTGTGTGTAGTGTTGCGTGAATGTAGTGTACAAAGAAATAAAAATCATAATTAATTAATTAATATTATAATCATTAATATTATAATAAGTCATTCTGGCAACCCTAGTGGGTATCGCCAAATGAGGTGCATATTGCGTGCGTAGCGTAATTAGACAGGCACACTGATATAAATACAACAATTTTGTATTGACCAATTGCTTTCTGTTTAATACTCATATACATATACAGAGACTACCGACTAAACCGTCTTTCAAAAAAAACGTTCACGCTCACTTTTTATCTTTATCCGAGCAGTAAGTACTTTATATTATTCCCAAATTCGTGTATAATATAGTATATATCATATATGTGTAAGAAAGTTGGCGTGAATTTACTAGGTACAGAGGAATAACACCTGAGTCCTCAGGAATGGCAACGCATGGGGGGTATCATAGGTGAAACAGTATACTCTGCTATGTCCATGGTACTGCTAATGTCTATAGGCGACGGTTGCCACTTTCCATCAGGTGGGCCGTCAGCTTGTTTATCATTCTAAGTTGCATAAAAAAAAATATTTATTATTCATATATATTTATTCGCTTATATATGTAATTTTAGTATGTATGTATATCAATAATTACTAGTGCCGCATTCGAGTATTCTGACACTTCCCTATGGTTGACTTGGAGAGAATGCTTTTAGCATTAAGTCCGCCAGGTACACATATTTATACTAATGAATAAATAAATAAATAAATACAAGATATTGCGATGTATTTTGCATGGATTTATTTCAGGATGTAGAACAATTGACTGTTTAAACGTTTATCCGCTGCTATTAAAACATCATTTATGCGTGTGCTTAAAAAAACGAACGTCAAATTAATTTTGCATTATTGTTGAAATTTTATATTGAGTAATAATATAATCATTCTGTTTTTTTTTTCTAAAGTGGTTTGGCAACAAAATTATGCTTTAATCATAAAAATAATTGGTTAATTATTCCAATAAGTGATTATTTCTTTATATTAATTAATGATATCTACAATTCAAAAGTTCAGAATACGTTTAATACCTATATTTTAGATTTTTTTTTATTCGTATATGTATGTTTTTTGTAAATAGATTTTTTAATGTTACCTTTTTATTATTATTTTTTTATACAACTTAGAATGGCAAACAAGCTGACGGCCCACCCGATGGAAAGTGGTAACCGTTGTCTATAGACATGAGCAGTACCATGGATATAACAGAGTATACTGTTTCGTCCATGATACCCCCCATGCGTTCCTGAGGACTCAGATGTTATTCCTCTGTACCCAGTAAATTCACGCCATATCCCACCCTTCAAACCGAAACACAGCCATGCAAACACAACTGCTTCACGGTTGAAACACGATTGGGACAGAGGTGCCCAAGCAATCGACTTTTGTACAAAGTCTCCCTCTGGTAATCTGGTACTCTTGTAGAATAGTTTCTATAAGTGAAAAATATTAAGCTTTACTGAGCTAAATACTTTTTCCAAAGGAATATAGATCGAAAGAAAACGTCAAAAAATGTTAAGCCCCTCATGCATGAGAATTAATACATGCAAGAATAATAGGAAATAAAAATAATATGGAAAAAGAATAATAGGAAGCTTATTGTTTTTTGTTTTTCCATCTATGTTCATTTGAAAAATATTTTTGATTTTCATTGATAAAATACTCCATTAGAATGACTGCCTGATACTTTATTTTAACTAAAGAGCAAACGAGCATGCGGCTCAACTGATGGTAAGTGACTACCGCCAATTATGAGCACTCGCAATACCAGAACAATTGCAGGTATGTTGCCGGCCTTTTAAAAAGGGATACGTTCTTTTTTTGAAAATTATGGTACGATACAATATATGGGAATATTCATTAAACGTTATAATAAGATATCGAAGAATATTTTGGATCTATCTTTTAATAAATTTAAAATTAGTATTAAAAGACATTTATTGTACAAAGCCTATTACACTCTAAACGACTACTTGGATGACAAGCGTGCATGGTGTTAGTCGATCATGCGTGGGCTCTTTAATGACCATGTAATTTTAGACATAGTACATTTAAATAAATACACAGAATGTTAACAGAGATTTAAAAGAATAACTGTTGAGTTTCTTGAGCTCTTCTCAATAGATAACAATTTTATGAACCTTACAGAAAATAAAAAAAAAAGTATGATTTAAAAGTGCTTGTAACAAATCTATTTGAATAAAGATGATTTGAATTTAAATTTGAATTTGATATCATGATATGTTGCTTTAGTTTTTTTTAATTTCATTCTTTTAATTAGTAGTAACATTATATACTTAGCTAAAACTGCAGTGGATACGCATGTACTTTGGACAACAACGAATTATCAGTGTTTTGCTCTTTTGAGGGCAAAACAATAAATGAGTTGTGACCGTCTTGTGTTGCGATGGCACACGCAGGAAAGGAAAAAAATATATGTTAGTTATTTTATGTATTTTGTTTTTTTTTTGTATATGTACCTTTTACATCTTTTTGCGTATGTTTGTCTAATTATATTTTTGTGTGCAAATAATATATATAAAAGTTATGTAAATGTACGAACGCTCAGGTCGTCGAGGTTTTTCCAAGAGATTTTTCAAAAAAAGCGAAAAAGAGGTTTCTTCAGGTTCGGTAACGTGCGCGTAATGCTCCTGGCTCGCTTTACTAACAGATGGGCTTATTTGCTATCTCAGTGGTATAAAAAAATATTTAAATAAAACTTATTTGATATATCATCTTCGGAACAAGTTTCATTAATTTTAGATTTTCTCATTTAGTTCTAATGCTACAATCAACTTAGTTACCGACATCCAAACAAAGGGAACTGGTACGTAGGTACGGAACTCATTTAGCTACATCCTGCTGTTGCCGGATCTTGGTTTCTCGGATATCGTTAGCAACTATTAAACTAGGGGATTGGCCTTCCAACTAACTTGGCCTTATGCTTTGAAGATATAATCTTTTGGTAATACGAGAACATAGAATATCATGTGACATAGATAATATAATTCTAGATGGAGCATCCAGTTAAAAACGTCACATAAAATTGTCAATCAACTGTTGGATAATGCGTTGTATTTAATTTCCAATGTAATGTTAGTTAGTTAGTTTTATTTCAAATTTGGAAGCTGAAGTATTTTTTGACGTTTAGTTGAGTTTAAATTTTACATATATGTTTAATTGTTGTGAAAATACTGTACGCAATACACAATACTCTAATGTTTTCGAAATGGATGCCTCCACAAGATGGCGAAGAATGGCGGATCGTATGTGAATTTACTTACTACGCTTTTAATATGAATTTACTTACTTTCAATCTAAGAGCTTTAAAGTAAGTAATGGTAAAAATAAATGGCAGTATTTTAAAATGTCCCCAGTACTATGATATAAAATTGTTAAAAACTTGTTTTTTTTTTTTAATTTTTTTTTCATACTATATCTATAAAAGATTGAAAGTGTAGTACCTCTAATCATATAGCCACTATTCAGGGTTGCCTTTTCACTGGTTAGTTTTGTAAACCTCGGAATAGATTTTGATTATGAGACCAAACGTCCACACAAACTTTTGCATTTAAAACAGCACTAGCTACGGGGAAAGGTATTGTGTATTGGGGTCTAACCTCCTTGTTCAATATTAGTCCCAAAACATATGGCTTTCTGTAAGACGTGTTTTATTAAAACGGTTTTAGCCGGTTTGCTTAGTTCGTATGTTGGAATTTATATACTAATATATGATGATATGTGAAAAAGAGGGGAAGGGATTGTTAGTAATGGTGTCTAACTGACCCATTGCTAGCAATACACCTTATCAGGTCGACCTCCACGTGGTTCCTCCTAGAAACCATCATGGTTTATTCCAGTGGAATTCATCACTATGGGCTAACAGACCTGCTTTCGTCGTCACCTAATTATCCCTCATTGGTGTCCTGCCAGCGTATACCGATAGCGCAGGCAGGAGATACTATTCCATTACCAACCATTAAAAAAACACAGCACTAGGTTGTTTTGTTCGTATGTTACATGTAATTTAATGGTATTAGATACAGGATTATGTATTACTTCAATTAGTAAGTAATGCAATATATATGTGTAACATTATCAAAATTGTCACTACGCAATGCACTTTACAGTATTGCGAGTGCAATGTAGGACAAGTTTCAACCGTGAAGCAGTTGTGTTTGAATGGCTGTGTTTCGGTTTGAAGGGTGGGATATGGCGTGAATTTACAGTGTACAGAGGAATAACACTTGAGTCCTCAGGAATGGCAACGCATGGGGGGTATCATGGACAAAACAGTATGTTGTGTATTTTGTTTATCTATGGTTGGGTATGAAGAATCAATCTGTGGCGGACATCGAAGTAGGAAGTAACTTTTAACTTGTCAGATTTATAATAAATAAAATTACAAAATATCAATCATTGTTTTAATGAATAAAATATGGTGGCAGCGGTTAATTAAAATATCCAAAGCAAATTGTGCAACAAAATTGAGTCATGGATATAAATTCACTAAAACCATTTAACATCCAAGATGGCGATGTCGTCCAATCTTGGCAAAAGTGGAAACAAATATTCAATAACTACATGATAGCTATGCAGTTCGACACATGCTCGGATGAAAGAAAAATTGCCATTCTACTACATTCTATGGGTGAGCAATGTCTGGACATATATAACTCATTCAGTGAAAAAGAAAAGTCAACGTATATCTTAGTTTTGAAATCCTTTGACGATTATTTTATTCCAAAAAAGAATTTGGCAATAGAACGCCATAAATTTTTTACGTTGAAGCAAGAAAGTGATTCCTTAGACACTTTTCTAACAAAATTGAAAAAACAGGCATCTGTATGTGAATTTGGACAATTAAAAGATTCTTTAATTAGAGACATGTTCATATGTAACATGGATAAAACAAATAATCACATAAGAGAAAAATTGCTTACTGAAAATGATGTAGATTTATATAAATTAGTGACTATATATAAATCTCTTGAGTTGTCATTTAATAGTACATCATATCTCTCTCAAGAAATTCCTGTAGCTACTCTGCGCAGTTCAAGAACAACAGCACATTCTCACTCTAAACAGCTTTCTACAAGTCAAAATGGATTAAAACAACAGCAGGCTGTACCATTTAATAATAATAATACAGCCAATTTTGACAATAATAAAAAATGTACCAGATGTGGACAGTATCACAGATTTAAATGTCCTGCTAAGTCTGTAAAATGTAAAAGATGTCACAAGATTGGTCATTATTACAATCTTTGTAGAACACCAATAAATAACATTGAATATGATGAAATGGATTCATCTTTAAATTCAGGTTGTAATCATTCAAATTCTACTAATTTATTCTCTGATACATTTATAGGTACTCTGTCATTTAATAATAATTTAACTGTGTCTTCATTAAATATGGATAATGACTGGATAATCAGTATCAAAATTAATAATGTAAACTTAAAATTTTTAATAGATACAGGAGCAAAAGCTAATTGTATGTCATATGAAACATTTTGTAAACTCAATTTGTCAAGTAACATTATCAAATATTGCTTTTCAAAGTTATTTGCATATGGTGGTGTCAATATACCAATAAAGGGATATTGTGTTATTGAATGCCTAATTAATGATAAAATGTATAAAATAAAATTTATTATAGTAGATATTTCATGTCAGTCAGTCTTAGGGGCAGAAACATGCACAAAAATTGGTCTTGTTCAAAGGATTTTTAATAATTCCCTAACTAGTCAGCCTGATAATTTAAAAACTTTATTAATTAAATATGAAAACCTTTTTCAGGGCCTGGGTTGTTTACCCTATGAGTGTCATTTGACTGTCTTACCTGATGTACAACCAAAGATTGATGCTCAACGTAGAATTCCATTTGCATTGCAAGACAGATTGAAAGAAGAGCTGGACAGGATGACAAGACTGAATGTTATAGAGAAAGTGTCAAAACCTACTAAATGGGTTAGTTCTATTGTTATTGTAGAAAAATCTAATAATAAACTTCGAATTTGTTTAGACCCTAGAAACCTGAATGAGGCAATACAAAGATCACATTTTCCTTTGCCAACTATTGAAGATATAAGATCAAAATTACATGGGGCTAAAATATTTTCACACCTGGATGCTTTTGCTGGGTTTTGGATGATACCTCTTGATTCTGAGAGTTCAGACCTTTGCACTTTTAACACGCCACTAGGTCGATACAAATTCAAAAGATTACCATTTGGTCTTAATTGTTCAACTGAAATATTTAGTAAAACACTTGTAGAAGCATTCTCAGACATACCGGGTGTAATTATATACATTGATGATATATTGGTTTATAGTACTGATGAGGCCTCACATGTAGCAACTTTACAAAAAGTATTCAATCGAGCAGAATCTATAAATCTTAAATTTCAAAGAGAGAAATGTGTCTTTCAACAAAATGAAATAAAATTCTTAGGACAAATATTTAGTGCTGAAGGTATGCGCCCTGATTATGACAAAATCAAAGCCATTTGTGAAATGCCTACTCCAAATTGTCAAAAAAGTTTACAAAGATTTCTAGGCATGATAAATTTTTTAGGTACCTACATCAAAAATCTTTCTACAGAGACAGAGATATTTAGAAATCTTTTAAAAAAAGACTCAATGTGGTTATGGGATGAAAACCATAATAAAGCCTTTCAAAGACTTAAAGATTTAATCACAAAATCACCTATCTTATGTCATTATGATAATACAAAACCACTAACTTTAAGTGTAGATGCGTCACAATCAGCATTAGGTGCAGTTCTGTTACAATGTAATAAACCTATAGCCTATGCATCAAAAACTCTTACAGACTGTCAGAAAAGATATGCTCAAATAGAAAAGGAGTTGTTTGCAATATTGTTCGGTTGTCAAAAATTTCATCAGTATGTCTATGGCAGAAAAATTAATGTAGAGACTGATCACAAACCTTTAATTACTCTCTTTAAGAAACCTCTAAGTCAAGTACCCAATAGACTTCAAAGAATGATACTATCACTACAAGTATATGATCTCAATGTAACATATGTTCAAGGTTCAAAATTATACATTTCAGACACATTATCTAGAGCTGCTTTATTGGAGTCTGAAGAACATAGTATAGATAATGACATTGCAATACATGCAAATATGTTCATATCTTCTCTTTCAGTTTCTGAAGAGAGACTCCAAATTTATAAAAAAGAAACTCTTAATGATTCTACACTACAACAGGTACTAAAATATTTTATAGAAGGTTGGCCAATTCATAAAAATAAAACAGAACTTTGTGTTAGACAATATTGGAATTATCGATCTGAAATACATGTTATTGATGGACTAGTATTTAAAAATACTAGTCTTATTATTCCTACATCACTCCGTAAAGAAATGTTACAAAAAGTTCATGCAGGTCATTTGGGTATAAGCAGAAGTAAAAACTTAGTTCGTGGTGTAATTTTTTGGCCCAATATGAACACAGACATAGAGCAAGTCATAGAAAATTAGCAAATTTGTTCAAAATTCAAACATAATAATTCTCATGAACCATTAATTGTAAGTGAAATACCTAAATATCCATGGGAGAAAGTTGGAGGAGATTTATTACAATATAAAGACAAAAAGTATCTAGTTGTGATTGATTATTATTCAAAATATATAGAATTAGCTTTGTTAAATACTGGATCTTCAGCAAAACATGTCATTTTACATTTTAAATCGATATTTGCCCGCCATGGTATTCCCTTAAAACTATTTACAGACAATGGACCTCCATTTGATTCAATGGAATTTAAAGAATTTTGTACAAATTGGGATATAAGTCATAGTACGTCGAGTTTTTTCCACAATCTAATGGACAAGTATAGAGTCAGCTGTCAAGATTGTAAAAATATTTTACGCAAGTCAGATGAAGATAATGTAGATCCATATTTAGCACTTTTGCACTATCGTTCTAATGCAAAAGAATACATGAAGTCTCCTGCGGAAATGCTAATGTCAAGAAAGTTGAGGTATAATTTACCAATAAAGATGAAATTACTGAAACCTAAAACAGTGAGATTCAAAGATATTGAAGAAAAATTAAGGAAGCACAAAGAAAACTATAAAAAATATTATGATAAACGCACAAGAGAATTAACTCCATTGAATAAGGGTGATCACATATGGTATAAGAAAACTCCAAATAGTAATTGGTCGCCAGGTATAGTCATAGACATAGTAAATAATTGTCCAAGATCATACTTAATTAGGTGTAATGATGGCTCCCAATATAGGAGAAATCGTTATCATTTAAGATTAAATAAAAATAATAATGAAATACTGAAACAAAATAAAAATTTAAAACGGTCATTCACTTCTTTACAGAAAAAATTGTCAGATGAAACCAATTTGTTAACAAATAAATATTCTAGTCTACCTATATGTCAAGTCAGGTTTCTGGGTCAGAACAAAATCATTCAACACAGTCACATAATGGTACATTGTCTCGATCAAGTCAAAGCTATGTTCAAGAACCTGATCACAGCACATCAGTAACAGTCTTGCCATCTGAGTGCCAAAATGATACAGTAAATGATGTCTCTAACAACTCACAAATCCAGTCGAATGGTACTCTTAATGTTAATAATAAATCACTGTCTTGTAATGTTGATGGTAATCCCACTATGAGAACAAGGTCTGGACGTGTTGTCCGACCACCTGTTAAACTTGATTGTTAATTTTAAATTATAATGAATAGAATGTGAGCATTTTCTCATTTATATAAATTCATGTTCATTTCTTTAAATTTTGTTTATCTTTATGTCAACATAGGAGATGTTGTGTATTTTGTTTATCTATGGTTGGGTATGAAGAATCAATCTGTGGCGGACATCGAAGTAGGAAGTAACTTTTAACTTGTCAGATTTATAATAAATAAAATTACAAAATATCAATCATTGTTTTAATGAATAAAATACAGTACACTTTGTTATGTCCATGGTACTGCTCATGTCTATAGGCGACTGTTACTACTTTCCATCAGGTGGGTCATCAGCTTGTTTGCCATTCTAAGTTGTATAAGAAAAAATCTTAATAGTATCTGCTTACAGGGCACATTTCTGTTTATTGATTTATTAACTGACTTTAAAAAAAAGGAGATTCTCAATTCGGTTGTATGTTTTTTTTTTATATAAGTAATAAACCTCATAACTCCGTCAGTTGTAAATTGTTTTTTTTTATGGGTAAAGATGAAATGGTAACCCCGCCTGAGCTATCGGTATACGCTGGCGGGGCACCAGTGAACGGTGACAGGTGAGGATGAAGGCAGGTCAGTAGGCCTATAGTAACCAATTGAACAAGAATTAATCACTATGGTTTCCAGGGGGAGTCGCGTGGAGGTTAACCTGATGGGGTGCATTGTTAGCAATCAGACTGTTAACCCTTCACCTCCCCATTGTAAACCGATTTGGGAAATTATTATTTTTTATCTGAAAGTATAGAATAGTGATGATAACAGAGTGGGCTCATGAAAAATTTATCAAAATCAGTTTAATAGTTTAGTTTTTAGATTAAAGTACTGAAAAAATATTAATTAATTAAAAATAATAAAAGAAAAAAAAAAACTTCGACACTGACATATATTGTGATAATACCAATATTGTTATTATTATTTTACATTATTTTTATTACATTAACATAATAAGTAGATATAATTAATTACTATACACATACTTAAATATACATACATATATAGTTTTAACAGAATTACCTAAATGCTCTATAATAAGTAGTATGGTTGATTATTTTGCCTTGAACTGCAAAAACAAGTCTACACAAGGTCCATATCGTTATGTCGTGTCGCAATAGCTCGTTAGTCGGTATAAAGGGTCTTTGACATGTCTCCTTTTCTATACTCTGTATGTTGTAGTATGGTGCGCATGACAAATTTCTAAATCCATACAAAAAGCAAGTATATTTTGCAACGCACACATGCTCACACTCACATATGTATATACACGTACATCCACACATATACATACATGTACACACATGAAGGCAGATAGAGAGAAATATTTATATACTGTATATATTTGAAATAAGAACGTAGAAGTGCGTGTTTACAAATGTTACTTAGCTGCAACCAGTTTTTTGCTCCACATAAAAAAAGGCAGTGTCTATCGTTACAAAAATTATATGGGATCAATATGGATGTAAATTCTATACCACCTTTTATCTATATCACCAGACGGAGACTTTGTACAAAATTGCTTGGGCACCTCTGTCCCAATTATGTTTTTACCGTGAAGCAGTTGTGTTTGCATGGCTGTGTTTCGGTTTGAAGGGTGGGATATGGCAGTGAATTTATAGTGTATAGAGGAATAACACCTAAGTCAATGAAATCAGGAACAGCAATGCATGGGGATATCATGGGCGAAACAGTATACTCTGTTATGCCCATGGTACTGCTCATGTCTATAGGCAAGGGTTACCACTTTCCATTAGGTAGACCGTCAGTTTGTTCATCATTCTAAGTTGCATAAAAAAAAACTCTATACATTGCAAAAATAATTGTGAAAATCAGTTCAGAACTAGATACGTAATCGTATAAAATTGTGGCATGAAAAAATCACACGAATTGGGAAATTTCTTTTTTCTTTAATGGATGATAATGGAATGGTAACCCAGCCTGCGCCATTGGTATACACGGCGGGGCACCAGTGGAAGATGATAAGGTGAGAATGATTGCAGGTCTGTTGGCCCACCATGATTAATTCGACAAGAATTAACCATGATGGTTTCCAAGGGGAACCACGTGGAGACCGACCTGAGAGGGTATATTGCTAGCAATGGGACTATCAGACCTCATTACTAACAATCCCTTTCCCCCAACATAGATAATTTCAACAAACTGACATTTTTTCGAGATTATGAGTTAACACTAATTATATTATCTGAGAGCCTATAGAGCGTCTATAATGGAATTGTACAAGATGTTATCTGTACAAGTGGACTCAAGTAACCCAAACTTCGCTAATCTAGCGTTGGTAAACGGTAAAATCTCACTTACAAGGCAATCCGGTGGTATGTTATGCGAAATTGAAGTTGCGAAACGGACCCTTTTGATATTGCATCGAAACCAATCTGTACCTTTCAAGTGGATTAGACTGTGTATAAATGTTTACTTACATTGATTGAGTCTATATATTTTACGAATACCTACATTTTTGTCTGTTGTCTCGTATTTATGTAACCCATTTCTTTATTTAATTAATAACTAGCTTTTTTTTTAATGGGTGATAATGGAATGGGTACCAGTGAAGGATGATAAGTGAGAATGAATCAGATTAATTAGTTCATCGTAATGAATTCAACAAGAATTGGTCACGATGGTTTCCAGGGGGAATCACGTGGAGGTCGACCTAATATTGCTAGCAATGGGTCTGTCATACTCCATTGCTAACAATCCCTTTCTCCCCATTAATGACTACATGTATACTGCGACTCTGCCCGCATGAAACTGTGCAGTCCTATGTGCTAAGTTGGGATATAAGTTACCTATGTATATTGGGGGAAAGGGATTGTTAGTAATGAAGTCTAATAGTCCCATTGCATGCATTATAACTTTTCAGGTCGGCCTCCACGTAGTTCCCCTTGGAAACCATCATGGTTAATTCTTGTTGAATTAATCATGGTGGGCCAACTGACCTGCAATCATTATCACCTTATCATCTTCCAATGGTGCCCCGCCGGTGTATACCAACAGCGCAGGCGGGGTTACCATGCCATTATCATCCATTAAAAAAATCTGCCTATGTTTCAAACATTCAAATCTGTTTAGTAGCTTTTGTACGACAGAGTAACAAACATCCATCTATCTATAATTACAAACTTTCGAATTCATTACATTAAATAAAAGTAAATTACTAAGTTACCAGAGGGAGACTTTGTACAAAAGTCGATTGCTTGGGTACCTCTGTCCCATTCGTGTTTCAACCGTGAAGCAGTTGTGTTTGCATGGCTGTGTTTCGGTTTGAAGGGTGGGATATAGCGTGAATTTACTGGGTACAGAGGAATAACACCTGAGTCCTCAGGAATGGCAACGCATGGGGGGTATCATGGGCGGAACAGTACACTCTGTTATGTCCATGGTTGTGTCGTCCACTGCTCATGTCTATAGGCGACGGTTACCACTTTCCATCAGGTGGACCGTTAGCTTGTTTGGACTTGGTTTTATAGAAATTT